TATAAAAATAAAATAAAGTAACGATAGTAGCTTGGTAATTTTACTACAAAAATGTAACTTTGTATAAATGACTTACAATAAGATGCAATCAAATTACCGTCAAATTACTTAAAAAGTAATTTCGTTACACTAATTTGTAACTAAGTTAATAGTTACTCTTCGACATTGCTAATTACTAACCCCCTAAGCGGTTTGGTAATAATTCATCGTTTCATTAAACGTTCTACGACTGAGGGTTGAGTGATTTTTGCGTTCACAAATCAATATTGTTCTGTCACTTTAATAATAATCCGCTAGAGAATCGAATTAGAGTTATTTAAACAGAATTGAAATCATTATTGGATCTCCGCAGCAGGTAAACCTATAGTGCAGTGACGTAGGAGATGAGAAATATAGTTTCGGTTTTACACTAATCAATAACTACGGTTTTATTTTAATACAATTGAGTGTTCTTTTCTTTTCTTTATTTTTTTTTACACACAATCTCCCGAATACTATTTGTACTTAGTGCGGTTTTTATTATTATTGTTTGTTGTTTCAACTAGCGCCGTCCGAATGTATTTGTGGGGTAGTGGGGTATAACTATTGATTTTGTACTGTCTGTTGTGTGTATATTATATTATAGCTATATTTTCGGTAACCGACGTATGAAGAAAAATAATAACGCGTGTAAAGAGAATCAGATTTAAGAAGGTGTCTTATGTTTTTATCTTACTAAATATTATAATATATTCTGTACGAGATAAAGACGCACGCGAAATCGCTTTACAGTTATTACGGAGCGTTCGAATAATATATTATAAAGAGTAACCGAAAAACAAAAAAAAAAAAAAATTTCCTCGCTGAAACTCGCTGGCTCCGCGATAAATATTATGCAATAATAATAATTATAAGCCACTCGACGAGAACTGCAACGCGCTATAGGTATTAAATCTGCGATCGGTCTCCATATTATTTATTCGTGCAAATATTTCTCCCTTGCGTACGAATTATAATATTTGACTTTAAAGTGTATCCACTATAAATATAATTTACATTTAAGCCAAAACCGGCGTATCGTGGGTACTGCAGTTATTTCATGCTGAATGCTTATTATTGTGAGTACGTTTCATTAATAATTCACGAACACTTTAGGCACCGATCTCGTATACAGCAGGTGGGTAGGTATACCTACCTACATTATTAAAAACGCAGTTTACTCAAATGCCGCGTATTTAACAAATTACCATTTTAATAAGTTCGTTTGTTCGTTAATTTTTCGTTGATATGAAACAATAACATTCCTCTCAAATTCCCCTCTTAAAGAACCTTTGTGTACCACATAATATTCAACGACAAAAGCGAACGAGAAGAAGTTAAGTATACCGTTTCACGTGGAAAAACAATTGCGCACCACTCGTAATGTGTTTACACTGGAAAGTGTACACTAGGTGTACTTAGTTTATATAAATAATATGTGACACGACCATACAAGGACAGTACATTGTTTTATTTCATCTATTCTATTTTAACGACAAATATTATACAAATGGACATTTTTAAAAGCATATTCTAAGGTATTATGTGTATTTAAAAAATCTAAATTAAAGCAAAATGTATTCTTTTTAATATTAAACGTAGTACGGTATATTATTACATTCCGCGCTTGCCAAAACAAGTTGAAATTCTTGAATTTAAGGATTTTTAATATTCATTTTTAAAATCGGTTTATTTTGCTTGGATTAAAAATGTCTACTATGAAAAGGTAATTTTTAAAATAAATAGGCTGTCGGGCTGTTGAACAAAAATGTTCAAATATTGCGTTATTTAATAGGTAGGTACCTACCGTAATTTAATTTAAAAACAAAATAATCACGTAATTAAATTTTCGAAAAAGCATACGATATTTAAAAATATAACTTAATTTTGTCACAAGACAGTAACTCGTTTTAGTTCAAAGAAATCAATACAGCGCATAATATTATGTTCTCCATTGTGGTTTAAAAAAAAAAAAACAATCGGGACATATTAAAATTATTCGGGTTGTAATCATACAATATAAATTATCAACGCAAATAACAATAAGAATAATAATAATATTTTGAAAGTGTAAACAATTGTTATTTACATAAAATTGACATTATTCGGACCAATACAATTTAATATAGTTATAATATTATACAATACACACTCATCAAAAGTCCGTTTGTCGTTTTGGTTTTGTATTGTAATATTATATCAATGATATTAGTAATGACAAACACAGCCATGGAAACTCGACAAATAGGAATCCTAATATTTTCATATTTTATAAATTTTAAAACGTATCGTTAATAATATTATTCCAAGCCATTACAGTATTTTACCCTAGACTACGAGTTTCGTTATTAAATCATTATTGTACCACGTGCAACTACAAAAATACACCTGACAGCGAACCATAACTGCGTTTATATTACACAGGTGAAAAAATCACACAGACTCGACAGACATTCACCACTGTAAACGCATTTTTATTTTTTTATTTAGGTCTGTTGCGGTTATTTAATGTCATTCATAACAGTAGAATAATATCAGTTTGCGTACGAGTATAATAATAATTATAGGTATAAATTGCATATAGTTACATTATTTATGTTACACGGAATTCATCTAAAACCACTTTGTTTTAAAACCAATTCAAACACAAGATTCTGTCTACGTTGTTTTCATTAAATGAAAATATGATTACATTTTGATTGTAAACGTACATTTAATGAATACCTATTGTAAAAATCGTTTAACCACTCTTCAACGTACGTTTTGATACCTACCTACTAATAATATAGAATTATTGTTCTTATTTTTATAATCATTAAATGCCAATATTTTATGCAAATACATTACAATTTTTTTAAACGTATTGCTTATAATATATATTATTATTTCATTTTGAAATATTCAAGATTTTAAAATTATTATTTTAAATAGGTATATTTTTTAAAATTATTCTCAAGATTTATTTTAAAATTTTTTTTTTAATAAATTCCGAAAAAAGATAAATTCGTTGAAGCTTTTTGTAATAACACACACTATATTACAATTACACACACACACACACACACACACACACAGTAAATTACATATATTTTATAAATCGACGACGGCAACGAGGAAATAAATTAATACGTGTTATCGAAATGTTCAGTTATTAAAAATCAACTGTGTACCATAAATTATTATAAATTGATAAAAAGCTAACATTTACAATAATATTTTACTTATTCGACAGAAAATATAAAACATTTGTGTGCGCACGTATATATGTTTTTAATAAATAAACTTTTTTTTATTACGACCATTATTATAAATGTTTTTTTTATTTCATACACGTTGGCATATAAAACAAATCAATTATAATTTTCATCATCCGATTTGATACGATTATTTATGCGTTGATAACTTGCATTGGATATATTTTCACGTTTTAATTGCTTCGTATAATAGTCCAGAAAACAATCAAAATGTATCCAAAGATAAAAAACTATGTCAATGAATTATTTACTTGTATATTAATAATTAGTAATTTACACGAAATATGCTCCTTTTTCTATTTCCTCGTTACTTTGGAAAATATAATGCGCTTTATTTGAAAACCGTACAGACATGTCGAGGGAACGTTTATCTTCTACAATGTATAAATCATTAATTTGCGCTTTTGGTATGACTATAGCTATTGGTGCTACACACAAAACCATCATCAGTCTGCAATGCGTATTATAGTGATTATAATCCTTATGAGATTCAAGCAACGTAATATCCATTTAAAACAATTTTGATAGTAATAATATTCTAAAACTATATTTGGCTTAAGTATACTTTAATGAATATACCTACGTCGCTTTCTCTCGTTTCGGTGCGTTCCACACAATTTATGCTCGCATAGTCGTATTAGGTACACAATATATTATAATATATACATCAACTTTAACTAAATAATAATTTCATATTCATTCATTAATATTTTTAATTTAATTTGTCTTTTATACAATATGTTATGTTAAATGTGTGTGTATAAATATATCTGTATATTACACCAAAATACTTACATTATACGTATGATAAATTAATTAGTAATTACAATGAATGAAAAAAATGTTTTATTTTAACTTAATTTTATTCCGCAACATAGTAGAATGGAAAATTAATTAAATTAAAAAATTCGTAAGTTATGTCATTAGATAAATAGCCGAAAAAAACATTTAAAGTTTTCAAAAGAGCATAAAAAAATTATTTTTCAAAGCTGTACCTACGTTATATTTTTTTACTCCATAATTTTGATTTGTATTATATTTGTTTCTCGCATGGTATATTTTTAACTTCACTTCGTTTAAAAAATAAGACTGATCTATTAATTGAAAAAAACGTATATCCAAACTAAAATATAAACTGTTTTAACGTTTAACAATTTTTAAATTTAGAAATTTTTATTGGTGTTCTACGTCAATCACTCATCATATTTTGTCATATTTTCATTTTGTGAAATTCAACAGAATTGGCGTACTCTCGTACCTACGCAACATGATTCAATCTCGCATATAAAAGACAATTTTAAGATTATTGAAATCGGAAGATGGAGTAGGAAAGTAAAAAAATAAGATCAATATAATATATATACATATATGTATACGAAAATACGATATACATTTACCAAGTTTTGCGTAGTTTTCAACACAGTAAAATGTATTTATTTTTAAATTCAAAGAACTGCAATAATAAGAGCAATAAGAATACGTTTACTCGTATATAAAAATAAAAATAAACTCTGTTTATTTAAAATCAAAATAAAACGAAACGAATTCTTTTACAGAAATGACCTTTCCGACGCAATATGGTCATAAAAAAAAATCTTTGCTACTAAATCCTAGTCGAAAGCCACGCGATATTTGAAATAGGTACTAAAAGTTTTATCATCAGAAAAATCATATTTAACTGTATACAGACGAACTACTACGACGCGTAATATACGAACAAATTCTTACCCGTGTCTACAGTTACGTCGAACAGCTTGGCCACCAGATGTCTGCCTCTCACCAGGAATAGACTGCCACGATCGGCTCTGGTTAATATACCGACGTTGACAAGTATCTTGTGACATAGGACGTCGATATCCAATTCGTTCGACACGTCCCGAATGAGCTCCATAAAAAGCTCCCCTTCGTCTAACAAACCCAAACGATGTCTCCATTCGCCACTGCTCCGTGTCACTCTATTGAAATCATAAAGGTTTTTGTTCGGGTAAATAACGTGGTACTATTATAGTACACCCAACCGCTAAATATGCAATTATATTACATAATCTACACAATACAACATCATATAATATAAAGGTACCTATATATATACTTTGATAGCATAAGCACAATATATATACATTTACTTAATTTTACCCTTATCAATTCACGACTATACACATTGGTTTAATATTGTGCTAGGTCCATAGTTTTAGTTTAATATAGGTAGGTAATGTAATAATATTATTGAAATACTAAAATATATCCGTAAAATACTTCGGAATATAAATAGGTAATGCTATACCTGTTTTCCGTTGGTTACAACTTACAATGCAATAATATTATATAGTGTTAGATTAAAATACTATTCTTATACGATTTTAACATTGAACTTGGCGCAAAAAATACCAACATCAAATTACTTTTTTCTTAAGCAAATAGTATTTTTATTTTATTTTCACATGCTGCTTACTGTAACATCAATAACCGATAAAAGAAACATATTTTAGAGAGTTATTGCTTATAAGTTATAAGCAATAACTATCTAGTAACCAATAAAATATAAATCAGTACACAAATATTTCTATTGTTATAAATTAGTTTTTACATATAATAAACTTAAATTGTATTGATAATATAATGAAGACTTTTAAAAGTACTTATTTATTAGCTACCTGTAATAATTTATAACCGTATTAGATGTGAATTTTTCAAAAAAAACTATATCAACAAAAGAAAACACATATCATTCCAGGCAGTGGCGTATTTAGTACTTTGTAAATGGGAAAATATTAAACAACGATAGTGGACTAAAGACGTAGTGAAAATGAAAAATTGGTTTTAAAAAAAAATTGTGATAACCACTTGATTGTACAGTAATTTTAGTATGTACCTAACTCGTCATTGATTGGGTTCCCTGTAAAGTCTGTGTTAAATTTGGGTTCAATGATATGTACCTAGGTGGCGAACCTTTTTTAGGTCATGTGGCAAACATTTTGTAATCAAAGTTTTAAAAAAAAATCCATGTGCCAGCAGTAATAAAAGTAATATAATATTATGTCTATAGATACATATAAAAAACAACATCATATTAAATTAATATTAATATTTTATCAAATTATCGTTTTTTTTTCAACCAGATTTTTGTGAAAATTGTTGGAGATTATTTAGTTTATACTTTCCCAAAGTACAAAAAAGATCAAATTTTTTATCAGAGACCACCCCCGAAGCTGATGATCAGAGGATTTGTTGACTGTAAAAAGTGTCTCCAGACAGACAGACAGAAATAAAAAGATTTTTAAAAATAAACGCGAATCGTTATAAAATCAATTAGTTCATCACTTTGCTAAGAAACTAAAAATTTAAAATATATTGAGTGTACTTACATAGTAATTAACTGCAGTATAATTATTGTTTTTCTTATAATTTATTTAATAAATGTAATTTTTAATTCACTTTACTATTTATTTATTTTTTAAATCAATATTAAAGGTACCTATTGTTAAAAATAAATGTATTTAGTTATGTGAAAACATTATATTATATCTATAACATATTAGTTTAAAATATTTGAACTAATAAAAAAAGGTCCTGTAAGCTGGGGTCTGTATGTATAAATGTTTCTAAGTAAAAAGATTACTTCTATCCGAAAATCCTCGAGTGCTTTAAGCAAAACCAATATGGCAAATTTGGTTTTATAAGTTTTAAATCATATGTTTTATAAAATATTTAAGCAATAATAATAGTGTGTACAAAGTGAGTACTTTTAAAAGCTTAAGAAATTGAGATATTTATAAAGAAAAATATTGCTATTTCTTTGAAAATCAAACGGAAATATATTATTCTTATTAAATCACTGTAAGATATTAAAATACTCAAATTACGTAGAATGGACTACAATGTAATGTTACAGACATTATAATATTAATGTATATTTTTTTTTATCTGATAGGTAATCATTGAGGGGATTAAACTTAAAAACAATAAGTAACATTTTTTTTTCTTCAAAATTGAGATTTTTAATTTAATAAATATTAAAAACATTGAACTATTTTAATAAATGTTTTATAAGTATATCAGTATGATTTCAGTTAGAATTTGTACCTCATGTTGTTTCCATCTTACAATTATTGTGCAACATTGTAAAAACTGTTTTGCGAGGGGAAGAACCACTCAGACTGTAAACCAAACTAAGCAACAACATTTTCACACTATAAAAAGAAGAACACAAGTAACTGTGCGAAGTAGTTTTTATTTTTTTGATATCAGAACTAAAAAAAAAGTTATTCAAGTTTTAAAATTCATTATTTTTGAGTTTTTCAAAGTTAAATATTTTTTTTTAGTTCTGATATCGAAAAAATAAAGCGATGTCGAACAGTAAATGATCTTCTATTTATAGCGTGTACTTTAGTTGCTTAGATTGTACTAAAGCCTGAGTGGTTCTTACCCTCGCAAAACAGTTTTTGCAATGTTTTACATTTTTAAGACTGAGACAACGCATACGGATGTAGCGTCCTCTTAATAGGTAAGTACCTAGTTTGACTAAAGAAAAATATTAAATCGACCATACATTAGCATATATACAGAGCATGCTGCACCTAATCAGGAAGCAAACGGGATTTTGTAGAATTCACTTGTTATATTATTCCTAAATTTTTGACTATATAGATTTACGAGGTATGATAACAATTCAGAAATCAAATTCTACGAAATCACTTTGTTTCCTGTTTTCTTAGCTGTTTCTGTGAAATTATAGAGGTAGCAAATTGCATAATATTGTGTACACAAAATCGGAGAACTTTTTTCAAAATATTATATATGTCCCGTTCAGTGGGTCCCATTACCTTTTCAAAGAAGTATGAAACAATAAACAATAAACAATGTAATATTATCTATACCAGTTAAAAATGTTAAGGAAATATGGTTGATACGCGTCATCTTGATGCCTAAGAAAGTTGATATATATATAATATTATACCGCTGGTTTGTGGCAAATTGAAAATGTCTATTTGGCTTAAGCGCAAGATATTTAATTCTGTCCATATAATATTATTATTCTTTCGAATGGAAATATTATTATTAAAATATACAAAAGTACAAAAAGGCATCTGTGAATGAGGATGAGTGCGCGTGGGCGTGGGACAGGCTAGTAAAAATATAAAGAAGCGAAATATGTTTCGCATTGGAAAACCATCAATAACAAACATCGAATATTGTATAAAATCGTACATCTGTCACGACTCTTTTGGATTTCATTCGACGTCAAACGATTTCGGAATCAATGAAGATTTGTCTTCCGGCCTCCCGTACGAATTCGTTCACTGACAAGTCCACAAAAATCCATAAACGGAATTTGACTTTTCGGTCACATAGTATAAGTTTAGTCTGCTAACTATGACATACCGTGCGCAGTTCCTATTACGTTTTCCGTCGTCGTCGTGTGTTTGCATGTCGTTACTTATTTAGTATGCAGCAGTCCTCGTCAGAATATTATGTTTAACATAATAATAATAAATATATATAATAAATATATATATTATAATATAATAAATATTAAGAAGAAAAAACAATATGTTTTCGGGGGCACATACTATTCATAATATAGTCATTCAGGGTATTTGGACTAGAAACTAATATGGTTTAGGCTGTCCAGTGAAAACGTTCCTCCTTTTAGCAATAATTTTTACAGCGCAATGTTCCTAATCCTCGTCGGAAGTAATTGTAGTTGACGACAGATTTACTAATAACGAAAACAGTAAAGACTTAAACTTTTATGCGTATATAACTATTAGTCGACGCCCTACACTCAATAGTACTATAAAAATGTATTATTTACTTACCTAAGTATATATTATGGACGCGTTTATGTTTATACACTCGTCAGGTCACTCATACTTATATATATTTTAAGCACGAGTACACTATTTCTCATACAGATATGATGTTAAAAGCGTGGTGAAACTTAAGAAATTCATTGTAAATTATGAATACAATTTTTTCCCTTGGCAATAATTAACTACCACTTGCCGCAGCGGTATGCAATTGTTGGTATATAATATTATAAATTATTAATATACACTATCGTGTGCACTTGTTCATAGTATTTTTAAAAATAATTTAAAATACAATATTAAATATTTATTAATTTCCGCCGAAAGCTTGAGCAGGACTGAAAATTGAAATTTATCTAGTTAGGTTTTTCGTTTCTTTGGTAGCTGAATATTATTTTTTTTAATCGAGTGGACACAATGTCAACAGACAATTCCCCATATATAGAGTATACATAAAAGTATATCATAAAAGTAAACTTTGTATTTTTTTCAGCGTAAAATAATAAGAAAACATATAATATTATATTCAAAATACTTGTACGTGAAGTCTGGTCACCCACGTAAAAATTTGCAAATTTGCAAATTTGCAAATTACAAAACTCAACAACACAGTCCATAACGACAAGTCTTACGAACAAAATGACAATATTTCAACAGCGTATAGGTATAGGTGCAACTAGAGGGGTGCTTGTGGATGCTTCAGCACAACCAGACTTTAATTTAGCACCGCACGTTCAAAATCACCAACAATTGAAAAATCTTATGAAAAAAAGCGGGTAAGTGTATGTCGCTCTGCTGTACAGTAGTTACAAGTGGGTCACCGTAACGGATGTTTTTAAATTTGTATTAAATGCTTTGTATCACTGTTTGCGATCTGTGTCCTCCGCATGATTTTAACACCCCAAGTTTTTGGCCTGTAGTTGAGCCTATGAGGTATAGGCATTAGTTTGTACCAACTATTACCATTATATATACCTATACGACTATAACGCGAATGCAGCGGTTTCATTACCTGTTCGGCGACCTCGATCGTTTGATCGGAGACGACGCCAGCCAAGTGTTGAACATCTCGGACGTCATGGAGCCGCGTTTCGCCCGACTTATCGTCAACGACCCGGTGCGGTGCTGGAGCCGTGCCCGGATCACGCGGTCCACCAGGTCTTGAGGCGCTTTCTCGCACAGCCATCGCTCTACCTCGTCAGCGTCCAGGTCCATCATGGTTAATCACTGAACCACAGTTGGTGCACGACTTCGGCCCGTCCGCCCCGTCCGAATCCTGTAAACAAAAAATAAAACCGTCCGACCGTTAATCATCGTATTATATAGATACGTAATAATAATATTATTGTGCGAGGCTATATAGGTATGGTTTTAATAATCTGGTGGAAAATAATATAATAATATATCATCGTTTTGGGCCGATCGCGACGACAATAGTAGTGATAATATATCGAATATAATACATAATATTATTATTATTATTATTATTATTATTATTACGATATAGTCCGTGCGGTATTGGACTTTTTTTTTAGGTTTTTTACACACAATATTATAACAATATATTATTATGTTATACCGCGAAATCCGCGCCGTCTGTGTAACGTTGTGATTTTTCGACACCGTCTATATGTATATTATATTATTTATATAGCGACACGTGCGGGCAATTTATCTTCGTCTCCAACACAGCACACAACAATCTGCGTTCGCGCGCTGTTACGACTCCCCTACACGGTTTCCGAACAAGTCGAAATCACCATTGATAATACAATATTAATGGACCCGGAAACTCTTTTTTTTTTCAATTTTCTTCTTCTTATTTTTATTTTTTATCATTTACAACGTGTAATTCCCATTATATAAAAAGTTTTGATAAATGCACGAGTAGTGTAACAATAAAGATTATCTTTGCAACGGTTTTTATTTTTTTATATTTACATTGAGAAAGTATGCTTTGGCGTTGATTGTAAAACGTTATCGTACGCACTACCTCAACCACCATTAAAAGCTGGTTTAATCAATTATGATTCATCAAAGCTTCATTTGAGTCTAGATAGAATTCCCCTCCACGTTTTGTATTATATATATGTAGCAATTCGTAACTCATATCATAATTGTTGACACCATAATTATCATCGTAAAAGAGCGTTTGACAACATTGAATTTGACCATTTAAATAAAAACTCCTTAAAATATCCTATACTTGGAAGTTTTTCTCAGCACGCTACGTCTCATCATCCACTTCTTTACTAAAACCAATTAATAAAGATACAGTCGCCTCTCTTATTTTGTTTAATCAAATCCTTCCAATCCACATTATGTATCTACTATTCTTATTATGGTAACTTTGCCAATAAAAATAATCCCGCTACTGCTTTTTCACTTATTCAAGAATATCTCATCTTCCTTGAAAAATAACATAAAGAATTGGGAATGGAAATATATAAACCTAAATGCATACACTCCACCTTTACGATTCAACAGCAAAAATGTCCAAAACTTTGGATATTGAACTATTATATACTTATAATTGTTTTTACCAACAGTGCATTGTATCTGGTAAGATACTTGCTATTGCTAAATTCTATACAGCAACGAAATTTCCAGTCTTCGCATGGCTGCAACATTGTCTGAGACAACAAACAATTATTCCTAAATAAACGCTTTCCCCGCCTTCGATCTCTTAACTTACAATCACACAAAATTAGTAACTAAACTACTAATCTACAAAATTTTCATCAAAGCAATTTGGAAATACAGTATTCAACTATGGGGCTATCTTAAAATGTTAAACATCAATCGTACCTAATCAATGTTTTAAAATCAACTCTCTTCGAATTATGATATAAAATACTCTTTAAACGTACAAAATTACTCAGTAATCAATGATCTATAATGTAGTTAAAGTGTTTTATTTAAGTAGTATTATTGCATCAACTTATTAATCTGGTTATCCACAAAAAGGGTAAAAAAATATTAAAAAAATAGGTGGAGGTATTGTGACCTGCTTTAGTGCACATCATTATAAATTTAGAAGTATATTTACTAATAATATAATTTTATAAATAGCTATTGTAATAAATTGTCCTCTATTCACTAGTTTTTAATTAACAGTACCTAATTGTTTCCCCTGTAAGAGGACATTAATGCATTCCGTGAAAAGTGTATTTTTTCTTCATTATGGGTATCATAATATTCATATTCAATTATTATTATTTTTCTACATTGTAAAATAAAAAAACTTTAAATTCAAAAAAATATATATTTATATTTCGAGATGTTGCGTTCACGCTTTTAAAATTATAAGCCACTCATTACATATTTCCGGTTGGTTTTAGACAAAATACAAGCTTATGTTCAAAATCTAAATCTAAATCTAACCTACATTTACTTTTCAATAATTAATACCAAAACGCGATTCTGGGCGTATTATACGCATCAAGATTTCCAGATGTTAATAACTACATTATAGTATTCAAATAACCGTTCCGAACCAACAATAAACCCAATTAATGCAGCACGGAGGTTAATTATTTTTGAGAAAAAGCTCTATTTTTGATGAAACAGGTACAAAACTATAAACTGGATAGATCTTGGTTACTGGTTACGCCTAAAACGCTGGCAATAATATCTGGTACCTACCTATCACAAAAAAACTAAAAAATATAATGTATATTATTATACTGTAATATTCCCAACAGTAGATCTCGTAGGTATGAGATAATTTACTGTAACATGTGAGTCACATACTGAATACTCAACAACTCAATCCACGAAAAAATCCGAAGCCTATGATGGTTATTTTTTCCAACTAATAGTATAAGAAGATTACTATGAACTAAAATATCTACTTTTAAATAAATCATTTCTAACTTCATCCAAACGTAAAATACTAATACATTTATGGTATTCTCGTTTCAAAATTGTTTCAAAGTGATGATGATAAATTACTATTAGAACTCATGACTTGTATAATATAAATATTCATACATGATACGAAAACAAAATATTTTCTTAAAATATAAAACGAATGATAATATTATACAAACAAACTATAACAAACGTGCATACTTTTCCCCGTAAAAAGAAATATTAATATTTCAATATTAAATTTTAAAATTGTTGTAAAAAATTAAACTTAAAGAGGTTTGAATACCTATAACACAAAGAAACTAAAACAATTTTCAATACATTGTTTCTTTTCAATGGCAGCCCATTAAAAATAAATAAAACGGATTCTTTAAATCAGAGAACTTGTCATATCGAGAACTAAAGCACAGTGTATTTTATTGACAATTCGGTATATTAACGTCACACCGTTCAGAATGTGTCTCGTATCGGTTATTACATTAACCTGTTAAGCGTCTTCATTGAAGTCAGTGTTCGCTATTTTTCCTTTTACAAATCCAATCTGCAGCAGAAGGACCGCCTTTGATGTTTCTTTCATTTATTCCAGTAGATATTTCAATTAAATTTGAAGTGAAGGTTGATAATTAAATCAAGTCGTACGCACACGTTTATATTGAATCGAAATTAAAATGTTGAATATAATATATAAATACTGAGTAGTTTATTTGTTTCACTTTTTATTAGGAAGGTACCTATCATGCAGTTCCAACACACCTAAGATAAATACTACTTTTAAATTGTAAGTCTCATTGATGATCCCTCTGTAATGTTTACTTACAATTGGTACCTACCTAACTATATTATACTGGTTTCACTTTTTAACAGATCTGAAATAACTCAAATATCAACGTTTATTATAATATTCAGCAATAAAAATATAAAAAATAATATCAAATAAATAGAAAATTACTGTAAAAAAACCAGCAAGTATAGTGTAGTATATAGGTGTCGATTGTACCTAGCCATCATTGAGTACGTGGGACTGTAAATGTAATATATAATAATAATATGCACGATTTAAATACAATGATACATTTTGTATACTATATAATAGTCTGAGTGGAGTCTATTTTTCTTATAATTCAATATGTCACGAGGTTTTATTAAAACATGTTCCTATTGTTACTTATAATTATAATTCATTCCCAATATGGTTTAATAAAGAATTGAGACTGTTAATAAAAGAAAAAAAAAGAGCCCATTTTAAATATAAACAATCTAATCACGTTTCAGATTACTTCACCTTTTCAAATCTTCGCCTACAATGCAAACAACTATCTCGTTCCTGTTATATAAATTTCATATCCAAGACTCAATTATCATTGGTCAGTAAGCCAAAACAATTTTGGAAATTTATTAATGACCGCAAACAATTAAACACCTTCCCAAAAGTCATGTTTTTAAATAATAAAACTGCACAGGACGGGTTAAATATTTCTAATTTATTCGCAGAACACTTTTCTTCGGCCTACTCACACATTTGTCCATCAACTGATGATTTAAAGGTTACGATCGCCGATTGTATTGATCTATCAAAAATCGACATTACTGTTCAAGAAGTTTTCTTAGCACTAGAAAAATGTAAACTTAATAGCTCACCTGGCCCTGACGGTATTCCGGAAATAGTTTTAAGCCAATGTAGGTATGCTTTAACGCTTCCTTTACACTACCTTTTTTCTCTGTCACTGTCTTCAGGCACATTTCCAGACTTATGGAAATCCTCTTATGTCCAGCCAGTTTTTAAAAACGGCGATCGCTCTAATATTATTAACTATCGTCCTATCAGCATTATGTCATCAATTCCTAAGTTATTAGAATCTATTTTACTTCCTAAATTAAACTTCTCTTTTTCTAAATATATAATTCCACAACAATTTGGTTTTCGTCCACATACTTCTACTTCTTCAAATTTAGTTGCATATCATAAATATTTAATGGATGTTATTGAAAAAGGTGGTCAGGTCGATGCTATATATACTGACATTAGTAAAGCGTTCGACACTATTAACCACGCTGTGCTGATTCGTAAGTTAGAGTTGATGGGTGTTAATAATCTCATGTTAAAATGGTTTAGTTCATATATATCTTGTAGATCTCAAAAGGTAAGGCTTCACGGTTATGTTTCTAATAATATCTCTATCCCCTCAGGTGTCCCACAGGGAGGTCATATTTCACCACTACTTTTTATATTGTACATGAATGACGTTGGCTTAGTTTTTAAACATGCACAGTTTAGTATGTTTGCCGATGATTTAAAACTATTTTATAATATTAATTCATTAGATGATGGCTCTAAATTACAAGACGACTTTGATAATTTCAAAGCCTGGTGCTATAATAATGGTTTACAAGTTAACATTAATAAATGCAATTCCATCTCTTTTTATCGTAACAAATCTCCGTTCAATATTGCTTATTACTCCGACAATTACCTTTTACCTAAAGTGGACTCTATTAAAGATCTTGGAGTTATTTTTTCTAGTTCACTCTCTTTTACTGCGCACATTCAATCAATAACTATAAAAGCATCACGATCACTTGGCTTTATTATCAGAAACACTCGCGATTTTAATAACATTGTATCATTAAAAATTCTTTATTTCGCTCTAGTACGTTCAGTACTTGAATATTGCTCCATTTTGTGGAACCCTTACCAACTTGTATGGATAAATAAAATCGAAAGAGTTCAAAATAAATTCCTAAGATTTATTAATACAAAAATTCCTAACAATTGCATAATAATTGATCATTGCTATGAACCACTTAGAAGACTGGTTAATATCAACTCTCTAAGTTCAAGACGTCTATATTTTGATGTCATATTTATTTACAAAATCTTACATGGCACTATAAAAGATAGTTTTCTGCTCAGCCAAATTAATTTATCAGTTCCTACATTTAATTCTAGAAGCCGGCCGACCTTCCACATTCCTAGTCACAAAACACTTTACGGTTTTTTTTCCCCTATTAACAGAGCATTAGTCTCCTGTAACAACCTACAAAACAAATTTGATATTTTTCATTCCTCTCAAAAAGCGTTGCAAAATAATATATTTTCTTTCTAAACATCTTTTCTGTTTAATATATTGTATACCTACATCCAACTTATAAAACCAGTGTGTTAACAATAATTAAGTTAATATTGTATATTTAATATTGTAATGTTATAATGTTTTATCTATGTATGTTTTTGTTCAAACTAGCTTAAGTATTCAATTATTCTGTACTGATTGCCTTCGGGCGTGTATTTCAAATAAATAAATAAAAAAAAATAAAAAATATTATTAAATGCATTTTATAAATATTAGTAATTTGTTTTTCTATTAGAAGTACTGTAGGGTGAACTAATTTTTACCAACATTTATGTTTAACTAGTTTTTGTCAAAAATAAATCACTTATTAATATTTTATAATAATAATTATGATATTATTTATTTACAAATCAATCCCAACTATAATACCATACTCGATCTGAGTAGGTTTGAGTTTTAAATAAAACGGTATTATCAAAAAAATTTGAAAATTGTATACAATAATATATATATATAATATACTATATAGTAAATAATGATATACGTAATGTCGACAATTTTCGATTACCTACTTATAATGTATAATATTATTTGAATTAGAAAAAAAAACTTAAGTCGTTATTTTTCGTTTATTAAATATCATATGTCGTAAAACTTTGAATTTAAAACGTTTACATATACGGTATGCGAGGATATATGCTAAACTTTTTGTTTAATTTCCAGTAAAAAGGAATCTTCTATTACATTTTCAATTTTTTACTCACAAACAAAAACTGTGTCACAATAATATAGATATGAGTCGCAAAAATTCTAAAAATAAGTTGAAAATGTTAACTAAGTAATTGGTTAAAAAGAGCCAAAATGTTATGAAAATGTTATAAGTAGGTACTATCTAGAAAATGCAATTATAAATATTTGGGTGAAAATTTCAAATTTAGGTACCTATAGTAATTTCTTAAATATTCCTGGTTAATTTCAACACAATAATATTCCGAATTTGTACAGCTTAATCGGTAACAAAATCGGTTTTTCCAAGGTGGTTAGATATATAAGTAAATAACCATCACCTTAGCTATGTATTTAAAAGATATACCAAGTCTTTCTAAAAAAATATTATAAAATATTGGCGTCTAAGTAATAAATTCAAATTTGTATACTCCGATATATTATAATATTATTATAGTTTCCAATCAGAAATATATCACAATAAATATTAATTCAAACCATTACGACGAAATCGTCAAAATGCACAGCCATATTAAATTTTCCTGGAGTAAATATACAAAATAAATTATGCCAAATTAATATCTTGCGGCACTGTTTATAGTTTAGATCAAACGGTACTTGTCTAAACAACATTCTAACTGAAAGAGTACCTATATATGGTTATATGGTTCTAATCCTCTCAAAACTTAACCATTCTATTTCCATGAAAAATTTGGGAGAATTGTTATCATACTATTTCCACTATTGTGACTATATTATTTTCCGTTTAAATCGTGAGTTTTATAGTAAAATAAATATTTTCCGATTAAATCGTGAGTTTTATAGTAAAATAAATATTTTCCAGTTAAATCGTAAAATTTTTTGATTGTAGATACTTATTAAAATATTTATAATATTAATATCACACTTTATAATATTGTCGTCTATTATGCATTTTTTTGTTTTTTTACTTTTAATTTAAAATTGTTCCTGCAGGTATATAATTAGTGTTGACGCTTATTTAGAACGGTTCGTAGATCAAAGGCGTTATACAAGCCACACTAAATAATTACTAAAAACTAAATAATAATATGTTGACCCATATAAAATACAAATATTATTTTATTTATGTTGTAATCTGTATTTTGTTATATCATACAAAACTATACAGAAAAAACGTTCTATTGCTATATGACACCAGTCAAACTCCATTAGTCTACTACATAATAATGTACAAACACGTATATGACATAAAACTCAATTTAAATTCAAAATAAAACCATCTTTCAAAACAACGACAACAAAAATGTATATTTCATATTTCCTGCCCATAAACCATAATATATAATATTATACAATATGTACAGTAAAAATATCGTAGTTCATCTTTATACGTCAAAATTTGAAACTTTGTACAGGTTTTTTTTAAATAGACATCATACTCGGCGCATTTACTCCATAGATTCGCATTCACATTAGTATATATATATACATGTATAAGTGAATATCAATGTCGTTGTTATATTATTGATAGAAAACTCCTCTATACATAATATGTAAACCGTCCGTCATATTGTAGTGCAGCTGTAGATATGTTAGGTTTTGACCTTAGTATTATGAGTATTTATGACAATATATTCGAAATTTCGAATTCGTGTAAATTCCATATTATAGTATCATTTTAATATTCGACAATATTCGACATCAGAGGCAATAATACATTATTGTATTGTAAGTAATGTTTATGATAAATAGATCAAAAATTAAAACGATGTATTGCGCGCATGACATAAGTCCAATATTAGACTAATATTATATTAAAATTATTGTCATTTTACTTTGATTTCTAAAAAGGTTATCAACTCCAACAAAATTACAACTTTTTAAACGGTTACGAAAACCGAAGATTCAAGCAATCATACGAGTAACCATTTACACCAATGAATCGTTTTTTTCAGTTAAAAAAAATTCCTTCGATAAGCCGGTTTAGACGTTATTTAATTACATCTTATATCGTAAGGCGTGAGCAATTAACTGCGTTTTAAATTTTATATAGGTTTTGAAATTTGTTTACTTCACAGCATGACGTCGATAAATAATATGAATTCAAACAAGTCAAGTGCAGACGATACGTCTAAGACAAAAACTGAAGACCCATTCATGTCATGAGAGAGATGTTTATCAGGACACGCCGCTGATTCAGGCAGGCAACATTACCACCAGGTACCAGCTGTTACTGGGAAAAAATTCCAGTTTTAATTACATTTTAAGCGAAGGACAGTGTTATAGAATATTACTTTGAAAATATATAGGTAGGTACTGCAAAAAGGTACTTAAAAAATGTGATGAATGCCAAATCATCCAACCTGCAGATAGGCTTACCAAATCGTGATAGAAAAGTCTATGATTAGAGTTAATTTTTTTTTAATTAAAAATAAACGAGATAAGTTATGTAAAAAAAAAATACATAATATCATAAAATCAATAGCATCATTGATTCTCTTAAACTCTTTAACTGTTACACTATTAAGAAAATCAAAACATATATAATATTTTATGTTAAAATTATAAAATTGTGGGTATATAATATTATATAGGTAACTCTATAAATAACACATTTTGTTCATAATCATTTTGAAGGTATATTATTTAAATTTCAAATATTTTAAAACATCGATTTTTTTTTTTTGATTTTTTTTTTATGAAAAGAAAAGAATTTAAAACTACAGTGAAGTATTTAAATTAATTAACAAAGTTCGATAAATAAAAGTTCTGTAATTCATTATTCACTTCGTAGAATATTATTGAAAGTTTCTTATTCGAGTTTGATTACATTTAGTCGGTGCTAATCTGATTTGTAATTTAAATTATTGCCTTTATGGGTAACTGAAAACTTTTGGAATCTTAACGTATGATAAAAATATAGTGTGAATACTTACTCCATTCTGGGTGGAGCTAGTCGTATAAGCGTGGATTTTGGTTCATAATATTATAAAAGTGTGAAAAACAACAATTGATTAAAATATATTTTATCAAACATAAACGTCAAATGAATACCATTTTATCTTAAAAAAAACAAATACTCAAATTAAAGAATATGATGACAGAATACCACTTCTTTTCGGGTGAAACTTAGCCCTCTAAGTATACAGTGTCGGCAGCTATTTCAAGTCGAGGAAAAATAGTTGAATTAATTTATAACATTACTTTACTTTAAAGTTTAAGCACTATATAAAAACTAAACTTAAAAAAAGTTTAAGATCTATTGGATACAATTATTAAAACAATACACTGTCGAAATATTTAGACATAGAGTTTACACATTATAATAATATAATAATAGTAATATATATATATTATATAACGTCATTGAAGTAGGTAATAGGCACAGTATATACAATAAAATATCGTGTGGCAAGGGCGGGAAGTGAGCTGTTTCAGTAGCGGGCGACAGACGCATTTCGCCCAAGACTGAAATAATTGCCTTCCAGCACGAGCCACAGTGCCACACACACTATTTTTTGTCACGACTCTGCGTTCATATGATCACGGCAAAGGCAATGCACTGTGTACTATGCAGGGGTCTATGCAACAACCAGACTGAAAACATTTTCACGAAAGAAAAATGTTTACGCGTCATGCAGGGAGGTTATAATATGAACATAATATTATAAGATGTATAACCTAAAGTTTATGTTTTGTAAGGACCATGGTATAGATTTCAGTGTTGCCTCATTCGGGGGAGGTTAACATTGTTTTTATCCCCGACGATGGTCCCGTGACCAATAATGTACCTGATTACCTATAATTGACGCTGTCGTCCGCATTATGTATAATGTACAAGCACTAAAGCGGCCTGTCTATTTTATCTAAAACCACCACTACGGAACTTGACGGAACGGAAGCAGCGCGACTACAACAGTCGGACGTACAACGGTCGGCGGAAAAGGCTTTTCGAGTATCCACCATCGGACCGTCGGACCGATAGCACATCGTCCGACGTTAAACTCATAGCCCGATAGGCACGTCATGTATTATTATATTTTGGTCGTAATATTATAATACATAATTTGTGACATTCGTAAAATGTTTGTGTTGTGTTTTTTCATCACCTCAACCCTAACCAGACACTTCGACCGGACCACGATCAACCTTGAAACAATCATCGGGTCCGCGTCACTATATCTATAGAAAAAAAAAACACAACAACGAAATCGATGAAAATCATAATGTTATACAAATGTGTAGGTATAATACATTAATACCTAATAGCTCGGCAAACATATTCATTTAAGCAGAATAATTTTGTATAATAATAATATAATTAA